ATCAACGGGCAAGGAAGGGGTCCCATTTCTCGAGTTCTGGGCCGTTTCTCATGGTTTTTCCTTCTTCTCGTGCATCACTGATTAAATCTAATTCAATTTCCACTGGGCTGCTTTTTCACCGTGGAAACCGCCTTTGAATACGAGACCAAAGTATCCTCTATCGAATCATAGTTCGAGTTATCGCATCAATAACTCGTAATGCAGTGTAGAATTTGGGCACTTCCAACTGCGTCCACATTTATGTCCGAAGCTCAGGGCGTCAAAGCTCTCATGATCCGGACTTGCATCCTGTGTGAGTCTTACCTCAATATCACCTCCCCCACAAGAAGAGGCTTAGTATGAGGCCTTCAAAAGATAGTTGTAGGAGCTCAAGCAGGGTGGCCGAAGTTCCAAAGACAAGGAGCTTTTGTGTGTTCGTCAGTATGAAAACGCTCTTCAGCGTTCACCTGAAAACGGTAGCATTATTCGTACATTGAGGAAAGCTCTATGCTTCTTGATCAATATGAACTGACAAGAGAGCGGGAATCAACACAATGAGGGATTTCTCCGACTCACTAGTCCAGAGGTAAAGGAGAAGGCAACTTGCAGTCAAAAATGGGACCTTCATCTCACACTCTCAGGGTTCCATTTTTACCGTTCTTTTCGTAGCCGTTTCTTGGATAGAAAGTCAACGCAGCTCAAGACTTACCTTTGCAAGAACGTTGCCCAGAGGCCAGCTTGATTTGCCACTCTCTCTCTCTGAAGTTCCTCTGTAAAGGATAAAGGATAAAGCATTTGCCGTTGATCAATCCCTTTTGGGATGCGGCACGCATTCTACTTCCATTTGTACATTCGTAGTTTGAATGCGATGTGGCCTATACAATGACTTGCGGGGCCAGCCGATGTACAAGTCAGTGTTTTTATCCTCCCAGACAAGTCTGGTACCAATTAACCGACCCCGGAGGGATGGAAGGCTTGGTTGGCCCGGGCGACTCACGACCCAGGATTTCGATCGCGTGCGTGGTAAGCGTGCCACTTACCACTACACCACATTCCGCCCTTTTTACATCCTTTATTTCTTTTTTTCAAGAAGCGAAACAGTTCACGGGAATTCGATCGCGTTCTTCGCTCAATAGTGAAGCGTCGGCGGTAAGCCTCCAGGGATTAAGTAGGAAGGTGTACTCTGGATGGGAGAAGAGGTTCAATCGAGTCGGACGCAGTGTTGCTCTCTGCATAATCATCCCAATGGTGAAATTACGTTGGAACGCTCGGGAACGACTACGGTCGGTTGCATTGCTCAGGCTGACTATCCCCTCTTTGTTACCATGCAATACCATTCTTTCAGTTGACTTATGTAGCCAATACATCAGTCATTTTGCAATCTGTCAAATATTCCTAGGTGACTCGACCGGGTGGAATTATAGTTTATTGATTTATTTGTACCATCGCACATTATAATCAATTTTTGCATATATTATAGATGCATATGGATATATTGGACCCAATCTTGGGGAATATCCCAAAGGTTGGACACCGATCCGTCACCTTCCGCGTTGCGGTACACGTCCATAACTCTCGGATAGTCCCAAGCTTGAGAAGAGGAAAGCTCCCCATCCCCTGTCTCGTTGGAGCTTGCTGCACCAGCCCTTTGAGCTTCAGCAATTGCTGCCTCTTTCCCTCTTCGATTTGAGTCAATCTTCTCCACACCCCTGTTCCTTTCTCCGCTGAGTAGAACGCCCTTCATCAACATCCATGCCCGCTGCATGCGTGGTTCTTATTTTCTCGCAGCTACCATTTGCCGTTGCTGCCGCTCCGCGTAAATATTCGGTGCACGAGCTTGTCCTGGCTTCTGGCCTTCAACTAAGGTCCGAAAGAATTGCTGTTCTGTAATGTTCTGTGCTGTCATGGCGTCCTTGGCCTACCGTCCTCACTCCTTCGTTTTTCGGCCCCAGACTACAGTCACTCATAATTAGAGTTCCCACCTCCTGCAAGAGAATCGCCTCTGAACCTTCCTTCTGAAACCTTCCACTATACAAGGAAGTCATAGGAAGAGCTCCCACCAAGACCTCCTCGCCGTTCTCGGAATATAAGGTCTAGGGATCGCCCCCGTATGTTTCTACACCGAGTTCGCCGCCATGGTTTGCCCTGCGCTGCTCGCTATGGCTACGGTTCAACTCCTTGTGGCTTGCAACTCGGCCTCTTGGTCTTTGGCTCCTTGCCTTTTTCTTCGTGATGCCCTTCAATGTGCTCCAATGCAAAACCGCGCCGCAGCCGCGCGTTCGGAATGATCATTCTTCGGCTCTTTTTCGAATTTCCTACTACAGTGTTTTTTCCAACCAGTGTTTTCTAGTGTGATTGATTTTCAGAACTATTCTGGGGTTTAGTACAGTTAAGGGGGGGGGGGCAATGCGGCACAGTTGCTCTAATGCCAGTTTGGCTCACGGAGTCCTTTAAAGTTGCGAAGTGCTATCAGGCTTTTTCCTACGTTGTTTGTTCTGGTTTTTGTATAATGTATGTGTTCTGTGCTTTGTAACGTAAACGTCAATGAAGAGTAATATTTCACTAGTGATCAGTTAGGACTAAGCCTAAGAAGGGGAAGGGAAACCCTCCTCCGAGAAAACAAGGATTGCTCACGAACCCGCAGTTTTCCCTCAGTCTAGAGGCTTGTCTAACTTATTACTAGAGAATAATCTATTCCGTTTTCAACGCGCTCTGCACTCGCAAGCCTGCACCAACTGGAATAGATCAAAATTTTGTTTCCTTGTCAGTGCAAAACATGTTGATAGAGAGCATTTGTCATCGGACGAGAACTGAAACTGAGACAAGCAAAATGGAAGCGGCTGCTTTGGCCAGAAAAAAGAGACTTTTGGAAATGAAATCACGCCTGCATGGCATTGAAATGAAGTGAGTGTTCATTACAAGGGTTCCATGATGTTTTAGTCCCACGAGGCGTTTGAAGGCGAATGAAGATTCGCCAGGTAAAACTCGCATTGCATTTTTCCGGGATAATAGTATATAAGTATGACTAGGTCCAACAAAAATCGTATAACTTCGTATAATGTATGACTTGCCGAGAGGGGAGAATGTCAACTGACAAAATGTTCCCTGTGTTTGATAGGTACGTGGCTTCCACCTATCACCTGATCAAGAACGCTTCCGCAAGTTCTTTTTAGGGGTCATTCAGTAAGTGGCGTGGGGTGCAACCACCTGCCACTTACAGATAGCCTCCGTTTCTTGCAGGAGGGAATCCCGAGATGCTGAACTAATATGCTCCGCTTTACACCCACCCGGACACAGTTCCCTGCATCTGCAAAATAAGCTGAATTCCTTTAGGAAGATATGTGATCGCACTCTTTCCCTCTTTGCTGGATATAACCCTTTTCGGTACCGCAAAAAACGCGGTCCAATTTTCTCCTCTTGTCTTCCGAACTCATTGAAATTTCCCTATAGTTTATTTGATCGCGAAACAGCCTAATTCGCTTTTTTTCGCCATTTATAAAGATCTTTGCTATTGACTAGCGAAAAGAGCTATTTATTCATTGACTATTTGCTTATTGAAGTTTTCCCCTTCTAAAGTAGCTAGTGTCACTTTGGAATAAGCATTGTGAGTATATATGCGTATTGATACAAAAGTTCTGTTACAGGGAGGAAGATTACAAAGAAGAAAGCCAGGAAACGAAGAAGAGTAAAGCGGAAGAGAAAACGTTCAGGTAAGTCTTCTTTGTTGTTTGTGAGTCGTCATGTCATTTTTTCCCAGTTTCTCGGTTTCTTTGCATTTTTTTTCCTTTCAGAAGCTACAAGCCTTCATCAGAAGCAATTGGAAAAGTAGCACAAGACAAAATTAAACTTGATGTCGTTGAAGAGCTCATTGCGTCTCATTTAGAGGTAAGAGGTTTCTTCTGTCATTGCTATTGCAAATGCTCCAGGGTTTTTAAGGTGTTCTTTAAAAATGCTTCTATTGGTAACAGAATACACATGCCTTCAGGATGCTAAAAATGTGAAGCCTGTAGAAACTGTCGATTTGTCAACGTTAGCACCGAAGAAAGTTGACTGGGATTTGAAGAGAGATATAGAAAAGAAACTGCAGGAACTAATGTTTGGCTTGGCATACGTTTTCACATCTTTTACCCCAAGTTAGCCTCACACCAAAAATTTTGTCGTTGTTTTTGGCTGCAGTTTTGAGATCAGTATCTCTGAAATACAATCCATTCATCATTTGGGCTGTCTCAGTAGAAATTATGCCACTTCTCATTGTCTACCTCTCTCGCATCATCCGCCCGTACTCAGATTTTCTCCCTTCCTGTGGTGCAGAAGTGTATCTTCCATTATGTAAAGTGCGTAACATGAGTCTCAAAAGATTAGATATGGGATGGTTGGCGGACTACTTAACTCAGCCCTCGTATAACCGCTCTTGCGCTGCTACTTGCGGGTCTCTCTCCTCTCCAAGGCTTGGTCCCAGACTATGTGCTCTAGCCATCGCGGTAGGACCGTTAAGGAGAAATCAGGTATTCCGTAAACACTATGAAATCGTCAAAACTAGGATGGATGTTTGTCGTTTAATACTGCAGAGTGTGTGCTTCGAAGAGTTCCAAAGTTTTTCTTCCTTCTATGGGTAATCCTTGTCTTGCGTTGGGGCGGTATTCAATTCTTCCCCCAAGGAGATGCGTCCCCCTCCTCTGATTCAGTCTTCCTCCAGCACTGGGGGTTGCGTCATAGGACCGCAATACCTCTGTGTTTTCATCGACCAGAGAGTTGGAGCAGCGCGACTAACCTTCACTGTTGAAGCACTTTTCTCCTGAGAGGTCGCGCTGCTGTAAGTGTCTGGCAGGTAGAAACACAGAGGTATGCGACCTAGACGCAAACCTTTCTGTCTCCGCGCCATATCTGTAGGTGACTTGAATCAAGAAAGGGACGCAATCCGCCCGGGGCTAGGATTGAATCGGCCCATTAGTCCCTGTTTGCTGATGCTGTTGCTTTGTTTGGAAGCCATCGCAATGTTAATTTAATTGCGCACTCTATGTAGTCGTTTGTGTGCTTCCTTTGAGCTTTGAGGTTTGTTCAGGTTCATCTTTGTACTTCTTCCCAGTCGGAACAATAGCGTAGCAGAGCAAGTTCATATTTCTAATCTTTTCTGAATATTTCTTATTTCTTTCTTTTGTCAATAACTTGGTGGAATGCTACATCCCCTCATCTTTCCACTCTTTCTTCGACCTAATTTTTTTCACACCATTTTTTTCTCGAAGTGTTCACCTTTCCTTTGATTAGGCTCTTCATTTAGAAGCTCGAGAGGAAAACTCAGAAGTGTATCGCAGAAATGATTCGACAACGGTTAGCTGAAGGAAAAGGAGATCTGGCAAGCACTGTCAACGCCGGAGTTTAGGGTTTGACTTACTTGCTTGTTTGTTTTTGTTTTTTTTTGCGATGTATGTATTTTCGGAGCTGTTGACTCATTTGTGGGCTTCAATTGTAAATATGCAATACATGGTATAGTGCACTGGACTGTTGCTCTCGCACCACACAAAAAGGAGAACGCTATATCGAGGTAATGGGATGAATAAGTGATGTTTCTGACCGTGAGCAAAAAAAGTCAGGGCTGTCCTTTAGCGAAGTTTGTAGAGTTTCTGCCGGTTCACAGCCTGTGAACCCAGCGATGACGTCATCGCTGATGCCGGCAGGCTATGCGGTCTCGATCCGTTTATACTTTTGCCGCACTAGTGGCCAGAGCAGACACACACACAGAATTCGTTCATCTTTCGACAGTCGCATTGGAGTATATTCTAGGTTCCTTCTTGAGAAGAGAAGATGGGGCGAGTGTTCCTCATGTCATAAACTCGAAGTACAACGCTTTCGGGCCAAAGCAGTGAAGTGAGAGGCTCAAAGAATGGGACCAGTTGAAAGTTGAGAGGGAGTGATGAGCGAAGAACGTGAATCGCGGCGCGTGTCACATGCGTCGTGGAGTTAGCGATTGCGCGGTTTCGAGCGGTACTTATCCAAATCATACTAGAACTAATATGCAGAGAGTGATAGCGAGCCATGAACGCGTCGTTAGTGCGATGCTTTATATCCTCACATTTTTGCCAACCATTATTGACCCTCGGGATTTTAACGGTTTAGGGTTAAAGTACTCTTTCAAATAAACTTTAAACCTTGTTGACATTTCGTTGCATTGTTATGATTCTGATCTTGTGTTGTTAGTTATTGAACCTCGTCGCTAAACTGTTGTAAGATATACACAATCATGAATAATGTTCATTATCAATACTCTCATATATCTTACTATCACACATAGAGCAAAGGAAATGTACATGTGAAAGCAAATTCTAGGCACTTTTGTCAATGAAACTGCCTATTTTCCATGAAATATTTAGCAAACACTAATTCAAAACTTAGTGTTCCCGTGGGATTTGTAGCTCCTGTAATCAAATATTGGGCTTATTTTTGGCATTTTCACCTTCTTGTAATGAGGTTGTCGTTCTCAATGTCTTCTCGAGATTTCTCATGAAAAGGGATATTCTCCTTGATTATTCGTGGACGATGCTGGTCGGGAACTTGCACGTGTTGAATGGGGCCGTCCAGTTGCTTTGGAATGGGAAAATCTTTAGGCGATGGCTTTACACTGTTCCCATCCCGTGTGTTTATCTCCATGTTCGTCACCACAGCCAACGGATCAGGTCGTACGCCGGTTCTTGACTGAAAAAATAAAGGTAAATAGATAACTCTTGTCAGAAGAACTGAATCAAGATGCAGCGAAGCTGCCGAATTGACAAGGAGCACGTCCTTATGCGGGTCTCTGATTCGGTCTTTGTTCTCCCGAACTCTTGGCCGAGACCATCTGGAAACATCAATTTCAAAGCTAACAAACCGGCATCATTGTCGCATAGTTGGTGATAAATCGCCCTCCTTCTTGGATTTTACACATCAGATCGCCAGCGAAATGTGCTCGAATAGCAAAATCGTCGATGCCGACCACTGTCTCGAACGTGGTGTTGAACCTGAATAAGGGTTCTTCGTAATGGATCATGTAGAGGAAATTTGGCAGTCGTTGGTAGCAGTCGGTTCCCCTTATTCTACCTTACCCGTTCTAAACTACCGTCCCTTCGCAATCAGGTAAATGAAGCCATGTAAAGGGAGTGTCGCGGTCGTACTTACCTGCAGTTCAAAATTGCACGTAACTAGGATGGACTGCCTCCCGTGCACATCGAGTGTGCTGCGCACAACGCGCCCTCGTGCCTTTATCGTATTTTGGCCTTTTTCTTGCGAAATTAAGCTCAAGAATGAGTTGGGTACCCGTTACGGGCACGCAAGCAATGTGTGTGTAACTGCTATCGCGAAGCAGTTCAATTTTCATACTGGCGCTCAATTTAGATTGCAGAATGCTACCCGAAGGTGCTACGCAACGCGTGCGGTGTGTGGGTCGTTAGGTCAAAAGGCGACTTTTTGTTTCTCGCAATGTGAATTTATTCTTTTGCTGCGGAATTCTTGGGTTCACTCATAATATGAAGGGACCTCGGGTTCCGCAGGGAAAGATTCGCTGCGAAATGCGATAAAGGCGCTTTCGGTCCTAGCGGCCCACACCTTCCGCGTGGTGACCTCCTATTTCACATCATTTGGATGATTATTTTCCACCTCTTTCCGCTTCCATAAAGAACTTAAAAACAACAGAGTTCGCGTTAACTCCGCAAAATGGATACACAAATTACAAGCGACCTATTCTCATGCCATTGTTGTCGTAATCTTATATTTTCTCATTGTGACGGTACTTGTTACCGGCTGTAATAGGAGGAGGTACGCGCAGATAGCAATAAACCACAGCGGTACGACTCTCAAGGAGTGGTGACATGACTTGATAATCGCACTTACACATGTTCTGAGTCGCTCTGAATTTTGTTGGCGATCTTCTGAACGCTGCATTCATGAAAATGATGTCCTATTCGAAGTTTACGGAATGTCTTGCGCATCAACGATTCCAGAAAACGATTACAGCACATGAATCCTGAACAGAAGAATCTTATTTCTACATGTATATATCATATTCGACCATATGAAGCAAATTGCAGTTGTATATTAAAGCGTGAACGAGACACTCGGAAATATGTGTGCGCCTGGGGGTGCGTGGCACCCCCCCCCCCCCCCCCCCCCCCCCCCCCCCCCCCCCCCCCCCCCCCCCCCCCCCCCCCCCCCCCCCCCCCCCCCCCCCCCCCCCCCCCCCCCCCCCCCCCCCCCCCCCCCCCCCCCCCCCCCCCCCCCCCCACCCCCCCCCCACACCCCCCACCCCACCCACCCCCCCCCACCCCCCACCCACCCCCACCACCACACCCCCCACCACCCCCCCCCCACCCCCCACACCCCCACACACACACCACACACACACCCCACACACACACACACACACACACACACACACACACACACACCACACACACACACAAACACACACACATGGTGGTTCCTTTTTTGGTGTGGGGGGGTTTGTATGTGTACGGGCGGGTGTATATTAGCGTCCCTGAATGGTGCTCCTTGTTGCGTTCGTAGTGGCGGGTACAGACCTAGGCCGCGTGTCAAACTGCTTCAGCCGCTACGCATCGTGGGTTCTTAGCAGATTTCTCGCCAACGTCGACTACTTGCCACAGCGTTTTTGCGCCTATCCACTGAGTGAGAACGACAGCTCCGCGCGACCGCTCGCTCGATATCTACATGCTGCGGCCATACCTTCCTGCGTGACGTAACATCCTAACATGATGCACTTATCATGCTTTCCCATGCTGAGACAACAGGGCGATGGCGAAAATAATAAATGGCACTGATTAGTGAAAGTTTTGAGGCGCACGCAACCGAACGCGTCTATCATAGCATACGCGGACTTTCATCCTTTGGTTTTATACCCAGTTATACGAAGTTACTATACCAGAGTCAACCGTGCGTTGCGCAGTTCTCAACGGCCACGTTGCGCAGTTTCGCCCGATTAGACACGTTCTCTCGCGCGAACATTCACACTCGCATGCTCGAGCCGTCTGTGTCTCCGCCCATACAGCGTGCGTTGAGGATCTCTCAACGTGCCGTTGCGAACTGCGCAACGCAGGGTTGACTCTGCTTCTATCTTCTTTGTTATTTCGTATAATCACGGTATAATGTAAGGAAATAATTGAAGGTGATAAAGAACTGAAATGAGATGGTCACCTTACCGTCGATATTCATGTAGCAGTGGCTGAATGGATATGGAGGCGGATCTTCTTCTTCAGTGATAAGATCATTCGTAATCACGTCGCTTTGATCTTCCATGAGGTTGTCAATATTCACGGTTCGAGAGAGAATGGAGGCGTTATAATCGCTGCCCTCACTACGCCACCTCTTCACGTCACTAGGAAAGCTCCTCGCCAGCTTAGCCGTCGGCTGCAAAATAAAATTATTTAGGTAGCTGTACTGATTGTGAAACTTGATGTTAAGTGAAATTTCAGCCGATCGAACTCAGCGTTGTCACTTTCTTTGGGGTGGGTGCGGAGGGGTAAAGGAGGGGTTCTTCTAGTAAAGACGGATCCTTCTATATCTTTTGTCCCCGTTTTTCCGGACCGTGCCGCCTCAAACCGATTCTGGTGTTACTTATTGTGGGGATGAAAGGAGGGGTGAAGAGAGTTGGAGCTCCGTACTTGTCGCTCCTGCGGAGCAGAGGTACTGTGTCTTGCGCATTCAACTTTCCTACCAAATTAATTGAATCGTCTTATCCGAACCGGCCACGCCTCTGGTTTATAGATTTTTTGTTTTGCACCGATTACTACCACACTCCCAGTGAAAGAGCGAGCCAAGGAACCTAACCCTCGTCAACTCTATGGCCCTATATAGTTTGCTTCAGGCCACTAATATGCGACGTCTGTAGACATTCATTACGAATTATGAATGGACAATCGACTTGCGATCCATAAAACGGATGTAACCAATGCCGAGGACTCTTATCGCTTAGTTAACTTCAAGCAGCGCTACGACTACAATTCAGGACAGGGTTTTCAGTGAGACGTGATGGTGCTCAATACATGCAGTGGCGAAAAAAGCTGAGAAATCTGTCAAGAAAGCGCAAAACGGGACACCCTTTTTTGGCCATTGGTTTTCACTCCATGAACAGGTGACAGCTCAGAAATCGGGAGGAACGAGTCACGGCAATGTCTTGGGTGGCAGCATAGCAAACCACGTCCAATCGAGTTGCTCCAGTTGTGCCGCTGCTAACAACGCAGCTCGTCCAAATCACCAACTAAACTAGTGGGCGGATCGCTTGGGGGCGGAGTGCTTTCGAAGTCCTGCTCAGCAACCAGCGCACCTTTCGCTGTGAAAGTGCCACATATCGCTTCCTGGCAGCCAAGTAACTGCTTCGTGTGGTGCATATGCTTCGCCGATGCGCTTGCTCCTATCGTAATCGCTGCCTTTAAATATCTTATTTTATTCCCTTATTACAATGGTGATTTGTGCTAGTTAGTCCAAGCTAGGTGTTGGTGTTGCTGGTAACCGATTGTGGAGCTTACGATTGCTGGGGGCTCACCATATGCTTCCCACTTTGTCTGCTCCCTGAAGGAGGAGGATGGAGCGGCCCGAAGTCAGAGCCCTTTCAATGCTGGGGTAGTGTTCAAATGGAACAGCAAGGTTGGTGAGACGGCATGGCCACATATCCGCACCATTTTTAGTCAGGCTTTGTCTTAGTGAGCCGCTCAAGTTTCCTCCTTCAAGACCTCTTAGTAGGTTATGGTAACTCACTGGGTTCATAGGTGTTGGTGGCCTGAAACCGTTGTGCAGCTTTATCATTGCTGAAGGCTCACCAGATGTTTGCCACATTGTCTGCTCCGAGATGACTGGTGATGACTCCTAAAAGAACCACTGTGAAGTTCTTCAATGTTTCTATGAGGATTGTATTACCCTAATTTCCGGTAGATAAGCCCGCGCCAGTATCACGTAAAAACACCCCCGCTCGTGCATTGTAATTTTGTACGCCTTAGAAACTACCGTAAATCTGCCCGATCTCCTGTTACGGAAATGACAATCATTTCCAGGGGTGGGCCATCGGCGCCATTGCGTCCTTTTTGCGATCCCGTGTTTTACCAAGTGGTGCAAACTTCCGTATAGGGTTCTTTGGTGTCCGTGATACGAAATACATCTCATTCGTCGGCGCTGACGATTTTCTGTTCGTTGCGCTCTCGTCCACGAGAAATATGCGTTGACATACTTTAATGTCAGAGAAAGTACTGTCCATATCCGTTGGTAACGGTTCCAAATACGAAGTTAATACGAAGTTTTTGGTGAAGCCAAGGGTCGTGACAAGGTGACGCCAACTGGTGCCAGATGCGCCACCGCTAAAAACGAATGTCGTTTTCGTAATCAGCATATCGAATTACCTCTATGGGCAAGTTACGGTTGTCTCTAGATGTACGCAAGTGCACTGCACCAGCGGAGGTGTTTTTACGTGATATTGCGCGGGCTTATCTACCGGAAAGTAGGGTATATTTGAGGGTTCCTAGGCATGAGTTCGCGTTAACGTGCCAACTTCTGCGCTGTTTTGTTACAGCGCTGTAAACAAAAAAAAAACAGAGAGACTTGCTAAAAAGCTAGAACTAATAAATAGTGCGTCAGTTGCTTCGTTGAGCTTGGCAAAAGCAAGGCTAGGCAACAGTACGCATTTATTTATCCTCAATACAAAGACTTGGCTCTGGCTTACCGCGCTCGAACATAGAAAGTATTGCTGTGGATTTTTGATTTCTAGGCTAATAAGCAGTGGAATTCGATGTCAGGTCTGAAAAGTCTTCACCACCATTCATCGTTTGTGATGGAACCGATCGGACGAATTTGGAGTCGTTTACAGGAGGTTGTGGAGGTTTCTCCGGTTGTACTAGCCCGATCCTGCAACGATTTATTCGATTACTATATCCTACACGAGTACTTTTCTTGAGAATGTATCATCTTCATAATAATATTTCTAATTGTTCGTAGATCGCGTATTATGAACATCATATCATCAATAAGCAAATAAATAAATGAATCAAACGAAGCCGAATGGAACCTCTGAATATTTACAAATTTAATTATTGAATGGCCCATAGTGCTAGCAGTTAACAAGCATGGCCGTTTTGATTAAAAATATCAAAGACCCACTTTAGAGATTGGAAAGCTCGTAAAATACAATAAAAATATTACCAGAATCATGAATAGGGACTAAGCTATTAGGGTGCTTTTCATACTTTGCGCCACTGTAGACCATTGCGGATAGCGGCGATGTGCGGACAGTGCGGACCACTGAAGAAGGTCAACACGACGCAGATGTGAGTATGACGTGAGCTTTAAAGCGGCAGTCGGTGCTTTCATATGTATCTTCAATATTCTACGTGAAGGTGTACGGGCTAAGTAGTGTAAGGCAATTGGCGACGCTAACACGCAAGCGTCAGGGATCAAATCCTGTGAGTTGCCGCGATAGCCAACCAAAGCCTTCCATCCCTCACTATCCGTCGATAATTGGTACAAGCTTGTCTAAGGAGAATAAAAAACACTGACTTGTACATCGGCTGGCCCCCGCAAGTCAGGCCACATCGCATTCAAACGCCACAACGAATGTGCAAATGGATGTAGAATGCGTGCCGCATCCTAAAAAGGGATTGATCAACGGCAAATGCTTTATCCTGCTTTTTACGTGCTTGATTTGCTTCACAGTCTTTTTTTTTTTCGGGCAAACATCTTTTTAATATTGTTTACTATTTTGCTCATCCAGAGACTGCATGAGGGCTTTGCCGCCCACATTTTGCACGCAACTAGCACGCGCCATCGCTCAAGGACCAACTAAAAAATACGATCGAAAGCGACACGGGGAGCGAAAAACACTAGATCTATACATGTATAACAGAAATATAATAAGAATTGAAAGGAATCGATTGAAAGGTACGACATCGCAAAGTTAGCTTATCACCAGGCGCATGCTGAACGATCTTCACTGTGTTGCTTGGTCCGCACCGTCCGCGCTGTATGCAATGTCCGCAACGGCGCGGTTACGGAACAGTGGTCAACCAACGCGTGAGAGTCCAGACAGAAAAGCCATACTTTTTGCCTTTTGTAGGAAAAAGCCTTAGACCAGGGTCAAGCGTGCGTTGAGGAATCCTCGACACGTCGCAGGGGGGGGGTCGTATTGGCCCGCTGGGTGGAAGAGATCGAGCCATTTTGATGCAGTGGGATCATCACCGTCGGAAGACAAATATCAAGGATGAGTCGATGCCAGGCCAGAGGATTTCCAATGAAAATGATATTTCACCCACACAAAATTTTCGTGATTCTGAGGCGTCCGGTAATTCTTAGTTACTTCAGTGTTTTATCACCACACAAGTTAAAGAATCTGAATTTCGCACGCTTTCCAAGAGATATTTCATCTTTCAAGTAAGACCCGAATCTGAAGGGATGTGAGGTACACGGCGCATCCGAGAAAGGGTCTAGTTGTTGCGCGCGCTTCAACTACGGCTCCTTGGACAAACAACCTCAATTCAGGAACAATCGAGAGAATTCTGAAAGTGTCCGTGCGCATTTACAGGGAGGTGTACACCATTCAACATTGCGTTAACGGACTCTTCAGGGTTAAATTTATAAACATGTAACCTTTAAAGTTGAGAAACGCTAATCAATCACTTTTCTTAGAAAGAGAAAAGCAGTGATTCCAAATCTGCTCTTACTTTAGTACATAATCGCCCTTAAAAGGATATACAGCCGTTGAAATAGTGCCAATGTAGCGAAAAAGTACCTTTCGGCGGTACTCGTGCGAAAATCCTCAACGTAGCCGTTTTTTTAATACTGGACGTTTGGAGCAGTTCTAGTAAGCATTTGATAGAGCAAATCTTCTAGTTTATGATGGCGTATTTACTTTTCGGATTGGATGAGTTTGAACGGAGTTATGGCTTTAGAAAGCGAAAAAACTCGCACTCATCACAAATTTTCCTCGTTAATTTTGCAAAAATCCTCAACGTGGCCATTTTTTGAATACTGGACGTATAAGCTGCTTTAGCAACGGTTTGGTAGAGAAAATCTTCTAGTTTTGTGCCATATTAACTTTTCGAATTTGACGAAAATGAAGCAAGTTATTGCTTCGGAAAGTGTAAAAACTCGTGCTCATCTCGAATTTTCCTCGTTAATTTGATCTAAATTTGTTATTTCTTATAACTTTTTGTAATTTCTATACTGATTAGAAAAAGCTCTTCACAAAACTTCCAAATCTGCTTTCAGATTGAAAATTCGTCATATTTGAAGAAAGTTATAATCATTTGAATATTTGTTCAAATTTCAATAGTAAATAAGCTGCTCCACGGTCAACGCCAAAGTCCAGTCAACACACAGCTGGCGAAGGCGGTAAAAAGCTTCTTTCAACTGAAGGGCTACGTGCAAATTGAGAACCACAATCTGTGTAGTACTAGAATTTGGTAAGTCTTGTGGAGGAAATAAATAAAGAACAGATGTTGTCATAGTATGCCATTTTTAGTGGCTAGTTTGTCGTTTTCTGGTCTGTTTCTCGTTTGCGTTTGGTAGGACTCATCAATAATGATTATTCTTTGACTTTTTCACTTTTGTACTTCTTAAACGAATTTTTTTGTGGGCGGTGGGGTAGCAGGGCTTTTTTATGAGCAGTTTTTGGGGGAGAATTAAACAAGCTTTTCAACCTTTTCATAGTTCGGCTTTTGAAGAGGGTTGTTTCATGGACTTCGGCCTCCGGCGGAGGGGGTGGGGGGGGGGGGTCGTATTTCCAAATTTTCCTCAACGCCTCGCTTGACCCTGTCAGAAGGAGTACAGCATACATTATACGAAGTAATACGATCCTATACGAGAGTGCCTATAAAATGCTACAAAACGCTGAATCACCAAGCCGTTCGGTTGACCGCTGCCCTTGGACACAACGGCGCAAAGTATGAAAGCAGCTCAAGGTAAGGCTCACTAGCGTCCGCAGCTTGTCCCAGGAACCTTCTCGTCTGTGAAGTGGACTGTTCACAGAATCCACTCACCTAGCCACAGGCGTCCTGTTTTTCTTATAAAGTATGCCGTCCTTCACCATGTACTTCAGCGGATTCTCGCCATCAGCCGTCATTCGCTCAGCCTCCTCGGCTTCGATCTTGGCGCCCAGTTCTCGAATGAAATCAAGAGGGTTCGATTGACTTATACCCTCCTAAAAGTCTCTTCACAATAAGAAACTCACACTTCTACTGTGGTGAAAAATTGAGATATCTGCACTCACCATTCTATTTTTTTTTCCTTGTTTATCGTTCAGTCTGTTTGACGATCTGGTTGCTATTATTTTATATCTGCATCTAGGAATTTTAGGTTATAGCTGTTTCAACCTCGCCACATTACGATATTTTTGTACTGCAAGGAATAAGCGCTGTCAGCAAATTTTTCAGTAGGTCTTTGCTAAAACAGGAGATTTTCTCATTGAGAGCGGCGAAACAAAGTCACTGTCCTGCACCAATTGATTTTTGCAAAAAACACCTGCACGACCCTGAAGGAATCTGTTTTTTGATCTTCGATTTGGATCTCTTATGACTTCTGATGTAGTTTTTAATCTTGGCTATGGCCGCTCCGATTGCATGCGATTGCGATCCGAGCATATTTGATAAATCGAACGGTTCTCTCCGATGCCAGGAAGCTGAATTGGCAGTCCATTTCAGGTGGCCTGGAGAATAATATATGAAGTATATATATACAGTAGCGGTCAAAAGTCTTCGCCGAAATTGTTTTTCGACTGTAACTTTTTTCCGCTGAATCAAATCAATTCAAATTTTAATATGTTTTAGAGATATTCCTACTTCACTTAAACGGCATAT